AGCTAGGAATCATAGTATTTACAATAAATTGTCATACTTATGAATGAAAAATGTGAGAGTCACCAAAAATTAAATTAGTGTTCTCGGCAACTAAACAGTATCCAAAACCCACACAACTTAAAATGGAGCAAAAAACGTAAAATTTAGCAAATTAATAATGTGTCACAAGCGATGTTAAATTGTAAGAATAATACAATAAATTTAAAACAGTACCTAGTAATAATGGTAGGATTCAGCCCAAAAGGCTAAAATTATGGAGCATTTGGACTATGGGTTTTAGCACACAGGGACGGCACACATGAATGCACAAAATATTTCATGAAATATGACTGACCTTTAATAATGGCAACAGACCAGGGTTCCAAATTAAGATTTTTGTTTATTTGTTTGTTTGTGGTTTAATGCCGCCCTCAGCAATACTCCAGCTATATGACGGCGGTCTGTAAATAATTGAGTCTGGACCAGACCAGACCCGATCCCAAATTAAGAGAAGTTCCCTAGTTTGAAATTAACGATAGACTCGTGTCATATCATGTTGAGTATCCAATTAGGTAGATGGCAAATCTATAGTAGATAATTTTGCTGACAATTTATATTAATTTATTTCTTACCCTTTCTTTTGGTGCATCTAAACATAGGGATTTCAAGAAAATGGGTTTCCATCAAAAATACATAAATTGTTAAAGAAATACTGGGCAAGAATCATCAGGTGGGCAAAAATGTAAACTACAGATAAAATTGTTACATCTGTACAAGAAAACACTTTATGAATCAGAATATACTATCATATCTTGGTAAGACATAGATAATAAACCAATATGAGAATGACTAGAAATAGTCACGTCAAAGTCAACAGCCTCACAATCAACACAGAGATAAGGTATGTTCTGGAAGTACAAGGTCAATGTTGCAATATAGCTTCGGTATACTGGCCATCAGAGTACGATCTGGTGACATGGTTCGTGATATTGACGTACAAAGATGATGTATTGCAAGCGCATATCTCTTGACTAATGACAGCTTCTTGTTTATTGATTAACAATTAAATTAGAATTGATGATGGCAAAATGAGACTCCAACGCCTTGCTTAGCAAAGGAATAATGTTGTTAGGTAATTTTTTCAAATTCGGATTTCCAATCAATAGATTCTCATCTTTTCATGAATAGATATTTGTAATGGATGCTGCAACTAGTGGACCTCCCCAGTGAAGGGCCATCACTTTCTGGCTCTGATATTGTCTTGACTGCTAAAGTCGTGATTGAGTTGTCTCAAAATAGGTGCACTGTCAGCTGGATTCTTCTAATTGCGCAGTTGCTACGAGTTGTTTTGGTTGGTGAATCATTGCATAAAACTCATTTATATGTATGGGAGTATGATATTGTTATTTCATCAAACATTGGAAGTTCACGTCAAAGAGCACTTTGTCTGAAGTTAAATCCAAAGTGGACTGTGCAAAGAGCCTTAAGCAAGAACTGTCAAGTTCCAGAAAAAACAAAGGTTGCAGTTAATTTTCAAAGGTCTTCTTCCAGACTCTTCTCAAAAGGTTGCAATAATAAATACTTGATGATTTCATTGGTCTTGAAGCTCTTGTGGTGAAATGTACTGGCAATTCTGGGTTACACAAACTGGCCACCTGCCAGTATTAGACAAGCTGCCAAGTAGTGATGCTATATGCTACGATCTATGTCTTAATACTTAAGAGCTTTAATGAAAGAAATAAAACGGTTAATAAATGAAGCTGAATAAAGATTTTGCATAAATGATAATGATGCAAATTTGCTTCTTTTTGAGAAGCAGGAAGTATTTGGAATTATTTACCAGCCATAACAGTTCTGAGAATTTTGTTCAACATTTTGTACAGAGAAAATGTACTATTCTCGTTTGAACACATAAGATCTAATGCAATGTATCCAAACTCAAGTCTATATGTGATAACAAGCATGTCTACAATAAACAATTAAACGCCCCTATAGTCCTAAAAGATTACATTTATGTACCTGTTTCCCAAGCCTCTTGAGCATGAGCAAGGCAGGAAATCTCACATCATTCCAACATCAATTCTCTAGATGCAGATAATTCTGGAGGTGGGTGGGATTACTCCTGATTTAATAGAGGTAGATTTCTTTGAGTTATTCACAATGATAACTATTGTCTGATGATTCCTGCAAATGTTTTACCTCTATTACAGAATTGCCAGAATATATCAGAAGGACTGGTGGGTTTGACATCTCGTAACCCTTGGATACTTTACAGTTGTTCGTGGGAACTGATTATCAGATAAATCTAATGCCTTTCTTAAAGGTGATGGACCGAATCACCTTAGGACTAATTCAGAAGATGTCAGGATATAAGCAGATACACGATAAACTTCCACTGAACTACCGTAGAATTTGCATCCTGTTCCCACTTCATCAGGTGACCTTGAGACTGTCTTTCAGGCCATACGCAGTGGTGTCACCTCAGTTGCTGATGATGTAACATCTGTTTCTGATGACGTCATTGCTGGTTGTTATGATGACTTCACTACTGGTGGATCTGTCATCATTCCCATGACCTTAAACCATGTTTCCAGCTGTTAACCTATGATCTGTGCTACTTTCATTTTTACAAGGAGGGAGACTACATGGAGATAACTGCCGGTGCCGCAAACTATAGACCCCGGGAAGTACAACCTGTGTAAGTTAGGCTGAATGTCATGCAAAATATAAGTCAGTAAAAGTACTGTGGGAACACCAACGAGCAAATGGAAACAACTTGTTCTAAGGAGACTGAGTTCCAAGACACTAGGCTGGTCGATAAAGCTTTGATCTCATGTCCTTTGAATAGTCCCAATACTGGATTAGATAGATCTGCACGACAGTAACATTGTGTAATCGTGCTTTCACCATCCCGCGACTGTGGCCTTAGTTATGTTGTTTTTTTTGTCAGCGGCAATTTTACAAGATATGAATTAAGAGCTGTTTCCTGTGTCCCCTGTGGGGCTACTCTTGCTGCCAGATACAACCTGAACACTCAGCATTGGGCACAGAAGACAATCAGCCTGGTCCACAGTTTTACCTTGCACAGTTATGGAATAATGTCTGTGCGCCATTGGTACTAGAGCTGCCAGTTGGTACTAGAGCTGCCAGTTGGTTCTTGGCTACAAAGTCTTGGACAGATCTGATAGAGAGAGAACTTGAATCCACTGAGTGAGTGAGTCCAGAGAATTGTAACACATAAATCTCTGACTCTCTAGTTGCTGTGGTCACAGCTAGCAGAAAAGCTGTATTCCCAATTTTCTAAAGCAGAGCCATGAGCTAAAGGCTTATACGCTTCCTTCAGAAGATCAGACAGTACTACTTATAGATTCCACTTTAGGTTAACGAAGTTCTAACATCTTCCAGACAGAACGATCTCATCAATCTGTTTCAAACAGGGTGATTTTTTATAGTCAAACCAACATGTTGATGCACTGAGGCTAAAGCTAAACCATCTACAGTGCCATGATGAAACTTTTTATCCTGATGGAGATTGAGGAAGAAGTCTCCCCCCATGGGTATAGTTACATTACCGTTACTGGAACCTTCTCTACTGACAGAACTTGTCCCATCTGTTGTAGATGGTGGATGAAAGTCTCTTAGATCGTGTCATCACTCCTGGTTAAAACTCCGGTAGTGTGAGCAGTTCTTCCATAGAAGCGGAAACAGTCTGCGGAACCATGACTGACTAGGCCAAATGGGAGCAATGAGGATAATTACATAAACCATATCTTCAGCGTAGGCAAACATGTCCCTCCAGTTCATAGACAATGCGTCAGAAAAGGAGTGTCCCAAATCCATGTTGAAGACCTCTGGATGGAGAGAAAAGCCACAAACCTGTTTCTCGAAGAAAGACTGTCTGCCAAGACGTGTAATGTGAATAAGACGAGCTTCAATCCCGCAGCTGACTGTATCTTCCACAGAAACAAACATGTAGTCTTGTTCTTCAAACTCGCTGGTCTATTTTCAAGATTGGGTCAAGAGAAGCTTCCGTGCCTCGAGAGTGTAGTAGATTGCTCTCATCTCCTGGCAATTGATACAGCCTACTGTATTGGCTAGTGGCATGTGGTGAGTTGTCAATATCATTTTATCAACATTTTCCTTAGTGGTCACAGTTGAGGATCTTCCTGATCTTGGATCATCTTTGGGTCATTCTATTCCCCTCTTGAATTCCACTGCTCTATGCTCTTTCCTTTGCAACAATTGACACCATCTGCATGGATAGCTGTTGGAATTATCCCTTTCAGTCGGAGACACTTGATGACAGCACAGTAGCCACTTTTGTCCATTCTCATCAACAGAGAATACCTAGTCACTTTGATGTCTGCAGAAATAGGCTGCCTGGTTGTGTATTTGGTTCAAATGCAGCCTGTAACCTTTGTAAGTATTGCACTTAATACATGCAAACTCTAAAGAGTACTGTACATCCTTCATAGTTAGGCTCAGAATATTTCAGCAACCCCTTGTTTTTCTGTGACCAAGAACGGTAACAAGGCATGAGATAGGTACTGAGATACTGGAAACTAAATATAGAAAATTCCTGGAGCTCTGCACTCTCGTATGACTGAAGCAAAACTTGGGGGTGTCACATTCAGAGCCCCTTTATACCAAGAGCGCCCCTCTAAAACAGCCCTTGTACAAAGATTGCTTTGTTGAGCAGAGCCCAGTGGTTCACATTTGAATACTTATGGGTCAAGCAACCCCTGAATGGCAAGATATTAGACATATAAAGCCAGGGAATTCATATTTCCTCTGCAACTGAGTTTGTTTTTGAAGAAATCTAAAGCAGTTCAAGTAAGATCTAGCAAATGTTGGATCAGAAATGCCCATTAAGTCTTTCCATTATTGCCGCAAATATTATTGTGGGTGCACCAAATAAGCACTGCACACCGTAGACTGTCTTTGTGAAAGTACTGGAATTATAACAGTTGTAATTAGATCTATTTGTGAAACGAGACTTTAAATGATTGGCATGTACTCACTTTGTGATGTAGCCTCCTGTAGGTCCTGAACCACCAGAGTCCACAATGAGCCTCGGGCCGTTTGTGTTGGTGGGGCCATCCTCAGATGCCTTCCATGTCTTGTTGTAGTCAGAACCCTTCTCAAAGTTCTTTGCTCTGATAAAAAAACAAGAGTTTTATTAACAAAGTCAATCATCACCAGGAATCATATATGGAGTTGAGAGCTTTGTGAGTTCCCAACAGGAGAGTAGAGTACATTGATGTTTTATTACATTTACACTAACATCCATCAGCCAATTTAGGAGAAAAAATCAATTTGATGCAGGTTGTGTTCGTGTATAGTTCTTGTATAAACATGAAAACAGGAAGTGTTACAGTTGGCACATTTTCAAAGCTAAAAGTTTTGTCTCCCTCTAACTCCTCTTTGCCAAAATTCATAAGAAAAAACAAACAAACAAAAAACACCTGCAGAGTTCAATGTCCCTACTCGAACAATCCTTTTGGTTGAATAAATCATATAAATATTATCTCAAGCCACATAAACTCCCTTCTCTTTCCTTTTTTCCAAAATGACATTTTAAAAGCAAACAAAATATTACAAAAACAAGATTGAAATCTCATAATTATTGATGGGATACATATAAAATGATACAATATTTGCAAAAATGAAAATGGTCAAAATCTTTATTGACCTAAAGCTACCAAAGTGATATTTGGATTTTGAATTTACTGGACTCAAGCTTCAGATTTGTGGCAAACTGTACACATATACATAACCTTTATAAACAGAAATGCAATGTGAGTGAGAATGATTTACAAAGCTCTGAGACTGAGCTCCATCACCAATATGACAGTGAATGAACTTAATAACGGTACATTATACCAATGTACCAGTGTCTTGAACCGACAAGCCAAGCCTTAAATCAATTGTCTTACAACCACCTGAACTGCAATGTAAAATACTTCACCAAAATAATAATATATATGTAACAGCTTAACATGGGTTAAAGTAGAATACTGAACCCAGCAACTAGAACCCCACAACATTATGACCGTCCAAGGCCATAAAAGTTTGAATGAAACCGTGGAATGAGATGGGGAGAGGAGACAACAGTCAAGGATGAGAGACAGTTTATCCACCAGACTGTCTATGTATACCACTCCTTGCCTCGACTGATAGAGCCAGATAGCAAATCTCTTACACAATCACCTCTCTACCTCCCAGATTAGCCAATTAATCAGTGACAGACTTGTCTGCATCAAAACTGACATCCACTAGATGTGTCTGAAGCTGAATTGCAAATTCCTACAAAAAATGCAGTTTCCTTATACAGGGCTCCACTAACAAATTGATCCAATTTTCGGTTTGACCACATTTTTATTGAACGCTGGTGTTGTTTGCCAGATCAAATAGACACATAAAAAATGTGATGAGTTTGGGCCCCCCTTGGGAGATTTCCTTGGCTGGTTGTGTGAGAGGATATATTAATATGCATGGTAAGCTGTCACAGACATGCTGAACAAAGCCTCCAACTGACAGTAATCATATCTAGACACACCACATGGAAAACGTTTCTCATTCATGTCAAAAACTATGTTACCTGTCAATTTCTTCTCCTTTTCTTGTCTACTTTATCCAATTAGAAAAAAGAAGAAGAATTAATTAAGTTTGAAACAGCTTGGTCCTTGAATTAGATTTTATTCCCCAAATAGTTCACTATGTAATGTCACTACATAGTTCCCTCTCAAAAACAGCTCCATCAACATAACATCATAATTCAATTCTCACAAGAAACAGTACTGTCCATAAAATAGTCACGTCAACCTCAAATATCACTTTTCAATTCTCTCACAAACAGTACTTATATCAAACAATAGGATCACTGCCATAAACCTTGCATTTTGGCTGTCATCACACTATAACATTTTCAGATTTTCAACAGAAGTCCTCTTCACAGTCAACTATTCATAATCAGTTGTGAAAGTAATAGTATCTTGATGTCAAAAGGCTCTTGCGCATGCACAAAGTGGGAAAACTCACTTCTTGCCAACAATCTGCTCTCTAGATGCAAATAATTGAGGATTGGGGTGGATGGGATTACTCCTGATGTAATCGAGGTAGTATTATTAGAATTATTAACAATGATATCAAACTATTGTTTCATAACTCCTGCGAATATCCTACCTCTATTACATCACTGCCAGTATTTACCAGAGGGACAGGTGGATTCTGACACTTAGCAAATCGAAAACCTCTTCAAAAGATGATAGACTAAAGATCAGGTAAACTGAATCACTTTAAAAGGCCTAATGCTGAAGTTGTCAGGGACATATGCAAATATGTAAAAAGATTCCCTTGAACTACCATTATATTTGCGTCCCATTCCCACTTGTGACATCATCAGTGACCTTCAGATTGTCATTGTGGTCACTGTCTATCTGGACTTATGTTTATAAACTATTAAGTTTATTCTAAATAGATTGTATAATATATTAAGTTTATTCCTTCAGCAACCCATACTTGCCGTAAAAGGCGACTACCCTTGTCATAAGACTCGCTGACTTGGTTTAAGCATGTCATCGTATCCCAATTGCGTGGATCGATGCTCATGATGTCAATCACTGGGTTGTCTGGTCCAGACTCGTTTACTTACAGACCATCGTCATATAGCTGGAATATTGCTGAGCGTGGCGTTAAACAATAAACATCATCTTCTTATTAAGTTTATTCAATATTTGATTCAATAAAGTTTACATAAATTTTGGCGAAATCATGTGTCCTTCAGATACTTACAACTTCTCTTTACCCCATTTCATAGGGACTGCTTTACATCATCTGTGATTGCACCAACGTATTTCACAGCAACCAAGATCATATTACCGCAACTGACTCTTTGAACTGACTTCTGTTCCAGACGTAAAAAGTATCCGACAACATACCAAAGTGCTACCGCATAATCCTGGTTATGATTATTATTCAAAAATTCTAAATATATATAGTTAAAACTGCAATTAATAACACAATATCCGAAAATATTATTCCTGGTAAAATAATAGTTTCAGTTACTATCTTTTCCCGATCACTGCATTCTTTTCCTTTATATTATTGGGTATGTTTTAACCTAATAACCAGTACATTGGAAGAAAACAAGTGTACAGCTGATTTTTATTTCTGGCTTAGTTTACAAGACAATCCACACAGTAATTTTAATGTCAGCATATAACATAATGCCTAGCCTTAAAAGAAATACAATTGAAATGGTAAATCTTCATGTCTACTAATGTGTAAATTTTACATTTTCATTGACTAAATTTGTTATCATGTTATTCTTTGACCTGAAGCGTTACAATCTAGTTTTTTTACTAACAGAAAAGAAGTTTAATGAAACTGTAACCTTTACATAGGCTGACCCCTTTCTACAGTCTTCTTATTTGGTCATCAAAATCCGGCTTACCTACGGTCACAGACTTGGGTTATGATGGTGATCAGTAAATAATCCAATTTGGACCAGACAAACCAGTCAGAGATATTGTGAGGTGAGGTGAGGTGAAATGGGGTTTAACGTCGCGTCCAAGATTTTTGCACTTATATATCGACGTGCATGCACATGTGTGTGTGTGTGTGTGTGTGTGTGTGTGTGTGTGTGTGTGTGTGTGTGTGTGTGTGTGTGTGTGTGTGTGTGTGTGTGTGTGTGTGTGTGTGTGTGTGTGTGTGTGCTGGTCAAGACTGATGCCGATTTATAGTGCTAGCACACTGAGATACCATGCCGCAGTTTCACATGAATACCCCACTCAGACACAGTATACTGACTCTGAGCCGACAAGTCCTTGTTTTAGCCCCTTAATGCTAAGCGCCAGACAGGGTAACAACAAGTACCATCTTTTAACGTCTTTTGGTATGACGTGGCTAGGGATCGAACCCCGGACCTTCCGTTCTCCGGGCGGATGCTCTACCATTAGACCACGGAGGCGGTCCAGAGATATTGTGATGGTCCTACAACATCCAAGTACGATGACATGTAATCAATCAAGTCACACAGTCTGACCACTCATTTCATTTAGTCTCCTCTCACAAGCATAGGTTGCTGGGGACAATGCTAGCCCCAGACACCCACAGGGGCTACTAATACATTGAAAGAGCACCTGTAGAAAGAACTATCTCAAATTGGTTTGTTGTACTTTCCCAACTTTGTTGTAACTTTACTACACCATTGTCTAAGAAGAACACATCAATGCTAAGATAAAAAAACAGAAGAAAATATGTCAACTGAATATTTCTAATGTCACTTTGATGCAGGAGTGCGATCAAATATCACTTGGACATGGGACTATTTGGACCTGGCTGAAAGTGTTTGTGTTCCTGGCATGGATCATTGCACACACTGTCAACAAGGTATAGGCTGCCATGAGAAGTAGGACATTGCTGGCCATATGGCCTAAAACAACATTCATCCACCCATTCACTTTAGGACAGTGACACTAGCTTTAAAAAAATAAATGAAATAAAAAAAAGGCTGCATCCAAATGCAACAGTATCTAAAACAACAAAAATTATTTTCATTTCCTATTTGGAAGATGAACTACTTCATGATGTCCCTTCTTAAACAAGCAGTAGCCTGCCTGGGATCTCAAATGGTCTCTGCTGGAATCCAATTGAGAGCCCTACAATCTGCCGTATATTCTTTAAGATTGATTGCCACAATTACCTGATTTAGGCTTGGCAAATATCATTACCCAGAATTCTCTTCCCTTGTAGATTTGACTCTACCAGGGCCAAGGCTTTCATTGTCTGGTTATATATGATGGACAGTAAGAGACTCCTGCATTAGTAGGGTTAAAACACTACAGTACATCAGGATTTGTCTCCATAAGGAACAATTCATCATCTTTAATTGTATTTTTTACTCTAAAGCTCATTTTCTAGGACACAAATTATTGTTCTTTTATTCATCCAATGTTTTTTTTGTGGTGCTGGATCCATCAGAGAGGAGTTATTAAAGACATAAAATGTCTCCGACTGCTGTAACAACATGATGGAAGTGAAAAAGAAATTGATAAAAGGAAAGAGAAGGTTGTCCAGTGGAGCTGTCTTGTTCAGAGAATATTTGAAGTCATTGCAAAATATCAAGTTATTATAATAATATTTGACTGCAGTC